ATAACCGATTTTTTGCCTGATAATCGATTTATTATAGTCATTATTAATTATAAAAAATCACGGGATACCGGATAATAAAAAATATTCAAATTGTATTTATTTTATTTTATTTTATTGCAACTCAAATATAATGAAATTAATTTTAAACTTATAAAAATTTATTATTTTAAGAATTGTATTATTAAAAAATTTTTAAAGAATCGTTAAATTTCAAACAAATTAAAATACAAAATCTTATTTATTATATAAAGAATAAAATATGCAAACATTATATGATTGTATATTCACAATGTTTAGTATTAAAAAAAGAAATATATTAATTATTTTTAAATTTAAATCTTTATCAGTATATTTATTAGAGATTTATCAGATTTTAAAATGTGAACAGCTTCTTAATCTTTAATACAAGTTGAAGTAGTGTTCCAAATCGTTCAACATTATCCGGATAACGATATTCTGATTAGACAAATCCAATTTCAAAAGACACGGATATAATATCTGAGACTTATCCGAGAACATTTATATTGATTCAGAAAGCAATCCACATGTTTTTTATGGGCAAAAAAATTGCTACCGTTATTTACCTTCAAGAAAATTATTTTGTCAATCTGTAAGTCTCAAATTTATATCTCGTCTAATGATTGGTTATTACTCTAATTTTTAATTAATATTATAATATTAATCAATCGAATACAAAATTTTTTGACAGATTCGGATCACTAGTTGAAAGAAGCTTTTTTAAAACTAAAACAACGCTTGTTATATTAATTTTGTTTGCAGAATTGCTTAATTCCAAAATAATTTACTTAAATTTGAAACATACGTTCATAGAATTAGACCGAACTTTAAAGAATAATGATGTAATATTACGCATTATAGGTGTATAATTTAATACAAATAATTTTATTAATAAATTCATAATAACACCATTATTGTTTTTGAACCGTCTTTTCTGCTTTGTAAGAAAACTATTACTAGCAAGCATATAATCAGTGAATCGTTAGATATTTTGACATAAATTTTCGGCTTTTTTTGAAATACCAATAAAAAAATTCTTTTAATTACAACTAAAATAAACATAATTCAATTTGTAAGGAAAAACAAATACAGTGAAATGAAATAACTTTATTACAAATGTACTAATATTTTGGCTCTTTAACTTTCTTTAACCATAAACTACTTAGAACTACACTTACGGAACTAACTACCATAGCAAGACTAGCAAGTTCGGGTCTAAGACCAACTTTAAATATAGGGAAGAAAACACCAGCAGCAATAGGTATAGCTAAAGAATTATAAACATATGCCCATAAGAAATTATATCTAATTCTCCAAATAATAGCTTTAGCAAGTGTTACTAATGTAATTAAAGAAGTTAAAGTTGATCTTGTCAAAATAACAGAAGCTGATTCAATAGCTACATCGGAAGCAGTTGATATTGATATGGGTAAATCTGATTGTGCAAGAGCAGGTGAATCATTAATACCATCACCAATCATTGCAACTATGGCCCTCCTTGTTTGAAAATTATTTCTTTTAAATAATTGAAGAAATTTATTTGGAGGTTTGACAGTAATCCCTCTACGTTGTAACCATTTAATTTTTTCTGCTTTCATCTCAGGAGTTACTTCTGCTAAAACATTATTAATTCCAAGTTGTTTTGCAATGGTTTTAGCTGTAACGGGATTATCTCCTGTAATCATCCACACTTCAATACCTCGAGCAGTTAATTCGGAAACAGTTTTGGCGGCATCAGGTCTTGGTGTATCAGCTATTCCCATTTGCGCAAGAATATAACCATTAGAAGATTGAGATGATAATCCAATAAGAACTATTGAGTAACCAGATTCTTGCCAACTTCGAAGAGTTGAAGAAGCCTTATTTTTAGAAACATTAGATGGATAAACGCAACCATTTTCTTGAAGCCATTTGACGTTACCAATAAATACATTATAAGTCGAGCTAGGTTTTTCATTTGGTAATAAGTCAAGTGTTTCCGCATTATTAATTCTCACAATGGCTTGAAGACCTCTACCGGGGGTTTCAGTTACGCTTTCCAACGTGATATTACTTGATGTAGACGTTTTCTCTGAATCCTCAATGTATTGACTAACCGCTTTAGCCAATGGATGATCACTTGAAGATTCAACCACTCCAATGATCTGCAACAACTTTTTTTCACGTGCTTCTCTTTTTGAATTTGAATTTTCCTCATATAAAATTTTTGTATCAACGACCTTTGGTTTTCCATAAGTTAATGTTCCAGTTTTATCGAATGCGATGGTATCAAGTTTAAAAGCCATTTCAATAGCTTCACCACCACCTTTAATTAAGATACCAAATCGAGCAGCAAGACCAGTTCCAACCATGATTGCGGTAGGAGAAGCTAAGCCCATAGCACAAGGGCATGCAATAACCAATACTGAAATAGCGAAAAATAAAGAAAATGTTTGATAGCCTTGATTTTCTGGAATCCAATCACTTGGAATTCTATCAGAGATACCAAGAGAGATCCATATAATGAAATCAATGATCGCTATAGTAATAACAACTGGAACGAAAATTTGTGCAATTTTATCGGCTAATGCTTCAATTGGCGCTTTTTTACTTGATTGAGCTTCTTGAACTAATTGTATAATACGTGAAAGTGTAGTATCCGATCCAACGCGTGTGGCTTTTATCCAAATCATTGATGATAAATTTACTGTTGCGCTTATCACATCGTCACCAACATATTTCGTCACAGGTATAGATTCACCTGTTAACATTGATTCGTCCAATGTTGTGACACCGTTGAAAATTTTGCCGTCACATGGGATCCTTGCTCCAGGATTCACTTTGAGGATATCTCCAACTAATTTAAAAATAAATAAATTTTGTAAGCTAAAGATTTTTTTTTCCTAAAAAAAAAAATATTTCATGAATTAAAATTTTCTATGAATATAGTTAGTTAGTTACCTTGGACAAGTTCTAAATCAATTTCCTTTTCGACAAAGTTTTCATTATTGTTATCATCATATATAATTGTGATAAGAGTTGCCTTTTCTGGTTGTAATTCCATAAGTTTAGTTATAGTTTCAAAAGTTTTGCCTTTTACTTTAGCTTCCATCCATCTTCCAAGCCAAATAAAAGTGATAAGAAATATTGTAGTCTCAAAGAATTGATGGCCCGGATTGTCGTCTCCATGCATAATTGGAATTATAACATTCAAAATAGAACTAAAGTATGCAACAGTTGTACCAATTGCAACCAAAGTATCCATATTTGCTTGATGAGAGTACCAAATAGAACGAAAACCTTTTATATAAAACGGATAGCCAAGAATAAATTGAACAGGAGTTGCGAAAATGAATAAAATTAAAGTTCCAACTTCAAGTCCAGGAATCAATTGATGCATGAAAACTTCTTTGATAAGATTATCATGTGCCAGAAACATTTTAAATATCATTTCAATGATAAAAGTTGGAATAGCGAAAAGCAAAGAACAAAGGAATCGATTGCGATAAAGCTTTTGTTCTTTTTCTGCACGATGTCGAATTGAATTTCCATTATTAGTTTGATCCTTCTTAAATAGATCCGCCTCATACCCAATATCTTCAACCTTTTTAATAAGATCGCGTATTCCGACTTGATTTAAATCGTGTTTGATATTTGCCTCGTTTGTAAGCAAATTAATATGAGCGTATTCTACGCCTGGCAATGATTCAAGAGAATATTGTATAGTGTTTACACAAGAGGCACACGTCATACCACCAACAATTAATTTTGTTGTTACCTCGCGAATTGAATTTTCGTCTTGAGTTGAAGAATCTAAGTTTTCAAAAGGAATTTTATAATCATTCTTTTTATTTGAATTTATGGTGATAGCTCTTTTTGGTATGGGAAGCGATCCTGTTTCAACTTTAATATCTTCAACTCCATAACCTGCGCCTAATATAGCTTGTTCAATTTTTTCAATACTTAATTTATTTTCGTCAAAGTTAAGTATTGCATTACTCGTTAATAAATTTACGTTAATTGAAGAAGGAATTAAACCAGGAAGATTTCTCAATGCGCCTTCAATAGATCGAACGCAACTAGCGCACGTTAATCCAGACAAAGAAACCCTTGCCTTGGAGATTTTTTGATTTAAATTTTCAGAATCGAACATTTGAATGTATTATTAATTGGGGAGATTTATTAATACTAATCTTTTTTTTTGGTCGTAGGTATTATCTATTTATAGGTAAAATATAATATATTGAACGTTTGTTGACATAAATGCAAAATTTACATCATTATCGTATAGAGGTAATTTTGCGGTTTTTGACTTACCAAATAAAGCGATCTTTAAAAAAAGGGTTATTTGAGGCATTTTTGCCATATGATTGATTAGTCATAAGTCATGATCATGATTTTTTACGTAATGCATCAAATATTCTCACGTAAACAATATATTTATTAGAACAATTTTTCAAAAATGTTAACTTTCCTCTTATGACAAGATTTGAATTCTTTCCTGTCGTACTTTAATCAAAGTTCGAGTGATACAGGAATTATCATAAAGGAAGTACCACAATTCATGTACAGAATATATTTTAGTATAGATATGTTATGTCGTCTTTCATTGCATAAATTCACCATACTTTTATTAATATGACGAATTATAAAATCGAAATTATGTTTTAAATTCTTTAGATTATTTATTATATTATATAACAAAATAATTTCTCAATATAATTTATTGTATACAAGATTATAATAAAGTGTAACTAATAATAATACCACAATTAATTTAAAATTTTGGTTCTTTGAATCTCTTTAGCCATAAACTACTTAAAACTACACTAATCGAACTAGCTGCCATAGATAAACTAGCAAGTTCGGGTCTAAGACCAACTTTAAATATAGGGAAGAAAACACCAGCAGCAATAGGTATAGCTAACGAATTATAAAGATATGCCCATAAGAAGTTATATCTAATTCTCCAAATTATAGCTTTAGCGAGTGTTACTAATGTAATTAAAGAAGTTAAAGTTGATCTTGTCAAAATAACAGAAGCCGATTCAATAGCTACATCGGAAGCAGTTGATATTGATATGGGTAAATCTGATTGTGCAAGGGCAGGTGAATCATTAATACCATCACCAATCATTGCAACTACAGCCCTCCTTGCTTTATCAGTATCTCCTTTAAATAATTGAAGAAATTTATTTGGAGGTTTGACAGTAATTCCTCTACGTTGTAACCATTTAATTTTTTCTGCTTTCATCTCAGGAGTTACTTCTGCTAAAACATTTTTAATTCCAAGTTGTTTTGCAATGGTTTTAGCTGTAACGGGATTATCTCCTGTAATCATCCACACTTCAATACCTCGAGCAGTTAATTCGGAAACAGTTTTGGCGGCATCAGGTCTTGGTGTATCAGCTATTCCCATTTGCGCAAGAATATAACCATTAGAAGATTGAGATGATAATCCAATAAGAATTATTGAGTAACCGGATTTTTGCCATCCTCGAAGCGTTGAAGAAGCTTTCATTTCAGAAACATGAGATGGATACACGCAATTATTTTCTTGAAGCCATTTGACGTTACCAATAAATACATTATAAGTCGAACTAGATTTTTCATCGGGTAATAAGTCAAGTGTTTCCGAATCATTAATTCTCACTATGGCTTGAAGACCTCTACCGGGGGTTTCAGTTACGCTTTCCAACGTGATATTACTTGATGTAGTCGTTTTCTCAATGTATTGACTAACCGCTTTAGCCAATGGATGATCACTTGAAGATTCAACCACTCCAATGATCTGCATTAACAACTTTTTACGTGCTTTTTGTTTTGATTTTTGATATAAAAATTTTGTTTCAATGACCTTTGGTTTTCCATAAGTTAATGTTCCAGTTTTATCGAATGCGATGGTATCAAGTTTAAAAGCCATTTCAATAG